GATAACCTGCTTTGTGAAAAAAAAAACAGAATCTGAATGATGCCAAATTTAGTTATGCATGAATTTAAAAGTTCGTTGAGATGAAGAAATCCCAGATGGGAAGAAAAGCTATCAACTATTACTCTCATATGTCCACTAGTTCCATGATTACGGTGGATTTCATGGAAATAAGCAACTTTAAGTCAGTTTGCACAAATACCCTCAGTGTAATAAGATTGAATTCAAAAGGAATCAAACAAAGAATTGTGCAAAAAATTATTATATATACATATAACTGACAGACTGCACAAAATTGCACTGCTTCAAGTTCCTAAACTTCATACAGAACACAGAGTTAGAGAAAAAGAAAGAAAATCAAAAGAACTATAGTGAGCAGACTTGTATGAGGGAAAGAAATAAACCGTAGGGGAAATAATAAATATTTCATGGACTTGGGAGAATACAAAATGTGTCAATGTATCTGCATCGTCCCTGAGAAAGATTTGATGAAATATCACCAACAGTCACAGGCCATCGGATCCTAGGATCTCGATGACCTCAATCAGGCATTGTATACCTGCCTAACTGGGCTCAAACTAACTGTCAGCCACTTCATGGGTTGGTTTAATCACCATACTGGCCTATTCGTCTATCAGCTAAGATTCACTGACGATGAATACGATGGTTTAGCGTGTGTAGCACATGCCCTAGCCATCGCAATCAAAACAGCTTCACAACATGATTGTTTGACTTTCCCTTTCTTACTTAACTTTCCATGTTCAACCTCATTACTACTAACCATATTATACTACTTAGCTTGTAAGGTAAAACTCAGATATTTGTGGTCAGATACAGTTAACACTTTCATATCTCCAACCTTCAGTGGTTTCGTCTCAAAGCCAATAGAGAAAAACGCAGTATACACATCCATTGATCGGCAGTCGGATATCACGTCTACGTCAGAGATGAAGTAAGTTCGCGAGTTCTGTTCCAGCCTTTTGTATCCGTGCTGAAATTTCGTCAGCGATTAATTGATTAGGCCTGATTCAACTGGTTGACACGCTCACCCACTTCACTCCGTAACTTCAAACAGTAGGCTGCTGGAGTCCAGTCCTACAGCATCATATTACATTTGACAGAGGGAACTAATTCAATAATAATAATTCCATGTCAAGGTTACCTCATTTTGGTATAGTTGTATCATCTAATCTTGCTTGTGTAATTGTAAAGCTTTTATAATTCTTCTAAACAGCATCTTCAACTCAAATATACCCAAATGTAAATGAGTACTGAAGATGTTGCCCAGAAAGACAATGAAAACTAATCGCTTAAATCATCCACCTATGAAAGTGTGACGACCAACACCAAAAAAAGATAACTTTGACAATAAAAACTTAAGATCACTAATTTCCCTCATTAACTAACTTATTCGATAAAATGCGGGCAAAGTCAATCAGCTGTTCCGTAGTCAGAAACTTTAATAAAAGCCTGAAGTATGACTGTTCAACACACATTTTAGTTACTGACGCATACTTTCGAAAGGATAGTTGAAAAACTGCTTGTGTATTAGGTTGAACGTATCTTCAGACTAAGTAACTTGAAAGATACATGTAAATATTTGCTTGCATTGTGTTAATACTTCAACAAGCAAATGGCATGAAAATGTACAAAAAGACAGTGGTTTTAATTTTGAAGAACAAAGGACTTTGTATAAGTGTTATGCGAAGGGAGTAGCGTAGAAGCACCCCCATTTTAATGGATTGTCTTTCTTAGGATTAAAACACTTTACAGTAACAATTACTACTACTGTAATGACAGAAGACAAGATCCTCTATTGAGAAAATCAAGAGATATTTATAGACTTTACTGTACATAATTGTCAGCGCAGAAGTAACGTCTTCTGATTGGTTGTTTTTTTTGCTGAAGGCTATTCTGTACTGTTCGCAACCGTTTCTCAGAAAGTTAAGCCATATATCTGCGAATCGTATTTGCACACTTTAACTCCGCTGTGACTGGCTGGTGATTTCCTCAAGGTTAAGCTTTGTTACGGCTTTTTTCTCATGATCCCGATTCGAGACGTAAATATTGACGTAAATTGTTGTCTAAAATATTAGCTTGTAGACAGCTCTCAACACACTACTACTACTACTACTTTGAGTTGAATTAGATAAGTTTACTTTCTGTTCAACTAACCATCACTTTCTCTTTTACAATTAAGACATTATACCTGTGTAAATGTAGTATACTTCATTTCTTCCTCGGTAGATTTGCATTTCCCATTAACTGATAATGTTGAAACGAAATGTTCAGTATCTGGTGACATATCAACTTCTAGTACGGACGCTTTGACGATGTCTGTGACCTGAAATGAATTTATTTTGGTTGTTAGTGACTAGCGGTGGAATCCAGGTCGAGCATCTCGTTTTATTTGGGACTCTTCAGATGGATATACCTGAATACATAGTAGGCAATGGGCTTCCTCCTGAAGCTTCCGTACTAGGAGCCAGTATGTCAAGAGATGCTGAACATATCTGTCCAACATAATCAACCAACAGGAAATGCAAATTAACCTCAAAACGAATAATAAATGATACCCTTTGCAAAAAGAGGTGACCGTCGTAGTCTAGTATATGATGCTTTAGAGTTTGAGGTGTTGGGTGTAAGCTTAGAGTTTCAGTGGGTACATCATCAATCACTGGGTATCCAGGCACATCCAGATGATGAGTCTTAAATGGGGAGAAACTAACATTATGGATTCCACCGCTAATTCCCTTCAAATAAAATAAGTCTAGTGATCTTCATTCCTGTTCCCGCCTAAATGAATTTACTCAGTCCCTTTAATTCGCTCTTATTTGTATGTCTAAATGAGTATTTTTTTTCTACGCGTATCAAAACTATACTTATCATTGACAATCTTCGTAAATATATGTATGAATAAAACACCAGGTTATACTAGCTAGTTCTACTGATAGAAAAGTCTCTTTTATACACTAATTTCAATAAATATAGGACTAGCTACTATATATATATATATATATATATATAGACTAATTTTAGTGGCCTGATTAGCAATAATCAAATATATATGCCATTATAAATATAAGTAAATAAATAAATAGGTTAACCTTAGATTGCATTACATAACTCATATTAAAGTAGAGAATGTACTTATGCCTAAATATTAGTTTATACCACAAGCGAATATAGGCTTTCTTTCAGAATTATCATAATAATAATAACAGTGATTCTAATTCAAGTGTGTATAGTGTTACATGCATAATCGATTTCTGTTTCATAGTGCATTGAAGAAGCCAAATGATTCATCCGAATCAATAGGTTGTTTTCATACCTTTGAGTTCCAAATGGAAGATGGGATTCCAAACTCTTGAGCTTTGAAGTTTCCCTAACGGTGGTGCTGTTTTTAAGGGATAGGGTTGCTAGCATGATAAACAACCTTCCCTTCTTTCCAAAGTTTACTTTATTGGTCAGAAAGCTAGGCAAGGCCTATGAGTACGTCGGTCGGGAATGTATGTAGGTGGAGTCTATCCGTTAGAAACTGAAAATAATGCGTTGGATAGAATCCAAGTACCATACACGCACACATATTGTGTGATAGCTAAATTAAGTGGACTCCTACATATTTGTTGAGCAATCGGCTCTTGATTGGTTTGTTTCCACAGTTTCTTGTTACTAATTATTTCTGGCCATTTGATCTTCAGTATGGAGCCAGCCAGCGAAGGGGTCAGCTGTTGATGAAAGTCTGCAATCTGTTGGAAATCCTTTTCCTTACAAGCCAAGTATTTCCATGCACAGACATTTATCCCCTTATCAACGATATTCAAGAATAGCTAAGCGTCTCTAAATAGTGATCATATGCATTTTGAGAGGCCCAGACAGACAATTTATACCTATACCGTATGAGACTCAAATAAACGCTGAGTAACTTCATTCGATTGAGTTTTAAAAGCATTCTCTAACAAAATAAAATACTTCTAGTACATGTGATTAGAAGGAAGAATGTGAATAAGCAGAAAAACAACTGCTCTATAATTTCTTTAGTCACTGAGTCAATAAATTCTTTACCGACTACCAATCAACCATACTCCATATGATGTACTAATTTATCACATATGTAGTACGCTACACAGAAGTGAAGAATCCCCGTTTCAATTTGCCACAATTTACGAAACTATGCATAAAGGTTCTGTAAAAACGATAATAGAATATTCGCGAAGCTTATACTGTCCTTACAGACAACATATTGAATGCTGACTTCAATGTGAGGTGCTAAAACGATCAATACTCCAATTCAAATTACTGCTAATGATATTAAAACGTCTGAAGACAACCGACAACACTAGAGGTCATCAGGAAAGACAGCTGTATCATCCATATGAAGAATTCACTTCATATTGCAGTTAGAGCTGAAGATGTTTTCAAGGGAACGAGAATAAAGGCTACGTATTTAAACCATGCAGTTAGGAGGACACAATCACATGAAAAGCATTCATCTGAGAAGCATAAATACTCACCCTCATTTCAGAATATAAAATAGATTGGCAAACTCAAATTGTTCGAATACACTATATTAGTAACTAATGGCGTCTCAGTGGCAGAATGGTCTACGCTCTCGCCTTTTAATCGGAAGATCCTGGGTTAGAATACTGATGGAGGGGTGTACTGCTGAAGATTTCTAAACCAGGAAGAAACAGCTGTCCAGTACTGCCTGGTAAGTATACGACGATGGTCCAGTGGTAGAATGCTCGCTAAAAACGACCCAAGTGGTTCGGAGTTCGATTATCGGCCGACGCATTCTTAAACCTAACTTAGCCAGGAGTAAGCGAAGTAAAAAGGGAAGGTTAGGCGTGAGGCTAGCAACCCTGTCACGCAAAAAACGACAACACCATTGCTACTGAAACTTCAATGTTAAAGCTTCAGGCATTATGGTCTACTTGGGGAACGCAGAGGAATTACCAAAAAATAAAATAATTAATAAACAACAATAATTGTGTTTTGCTTACGTAAGAACACGTTGGCACTGATGACACTTGAAACATGATTTATGATAAACTCTACCAATTGTCTGTAATGCTTCTAATGGATAAACAATTTCTCTACAAGTATGGCATCTTGGTTGTTCAATTGATTCCCTTGATGGGATCTATGATAATGAAAGAAAGAGGAGGAACAATCATCATCAGTAACAAATAATCATAAAAGGCATAACCAGAAGGATTAAACACGCAAGCGAATGATATGCAGGCAGTTAAGAATGAATGAACAAATGAATGGACAAACAAATTGCAAAGTATAAAATCAGAATGTCAATTCATAATTTACTGTAAAAAACAGTCTTTGCAAGGATCGCATTCATACATACATGTATATGTACTCAAGATGCACAATAGTAGTAGTAGTAGTTTGTAGATAATATAAAGAGGGAGGCAGATCTGTTTTCTCTTGTTGTGTTATTGTTATGACAATAAAAAGAAGTTTTTTAGAGTTGAATAGTTAGTTAGCCATTGTTATCTTTTGACAGTAAACAAGAAGAAAATTGAACAGAGATGAAAATGATAACATGGCCAAATAGTTCCATTTTTTTTATAAAGTAGGTTAAAAAGGACTGTAACTCAAAAATGTAGTTGTCCTAGTTGTTACTTAAATCGCCCGATTTTCTTCAGATAGCCTAAGTAGAAAGATGTTTGCACAACATAAGGAGTGTGGACAATGGACTACATGGGTGTATCTGTAGATATGTATGGGGAAAGACCCTGTGGACTTCCACTACCAGCTGCCTCCGCTGCATATACAATATCAGATGAACGATTAGAACACTCTGACAAAACAACAATCAAGGACGTATTGTTCAACAAATATGTAGCAGAAAATGGAAATGAATTAGGCACATGTTGAGAAGACTGTCGAGTAACATCACACGCCAAGCAGGCCATCGCTCAAATGGAACCCTCGTGGGCGTGGGTTTGAGGGTCACATGCAGTAAATCGTGTGAAGAGGACATGAAAGCCTATTAGCAGTCTTAGAGTTTGAACGGGATAAATTAAAGATGCACTGCTGGAGCCCAGCATTCCACTCGAAACCCAAAGGAAAGATAATAAAATAGTAGTATGTATGCTGGGTTTCCCCCCTGGGCCGGTTCGCCCCTCCTCAATCGACCTGGACAACCCGCCCTTCGACAGGTCAGCGATATCAGCGCCGTGTTTAGCGTGGACGCCCGATCAACACGAGCATCCATATGCCAGAACTCCCGGTCCCACGAAATTCCGCAACCTGGCTTCCAAGCAGCTAGATTACAGGCGTACGCCACCACGCCCAGCCTGCAGATAACTCTAAACGGCAGTTTGTTTCTCATAAGTTATCGAATGAGTTATCATTAAGGAATGACATCCTGAAGCTTGCTTTAGAGGTTATTTCCACACTATATAATCTGTCCTTGACTTCAGTCCCTTTCACTTTTCATCTAATATTCATGAGTGGCTCAATGGTGGAATGTTCACCAGAAATGTGGGATATCCAAGTTCAATTCCCGGATGGCGCACCGTCACACCTCGCCCAGCCAATCATGAGCCTTCAAATTAGGGGAGGTTAGCTGTGAGACTGGCGAACTCCCCTCCCCGTAAAGGCAATACAGTTGCAACTGAAATTCCAAAGCTTGACTTGAAACATGAAGGGATGTAAATAGTTCCATAGGTTGAATTCCTTCCAGAATAATGAAGAGCCATTTTTGGTGATGATGTGGCTTGATGATTTTGTTTACATTGAATTTATAATAACTAGTTTCTTTGAGTGAGAACCTCTCGAAGGTGTGTCTATAGCTGAGTATAGATGACCAAAGGCTTCATCTTTCCCTCCTCGATGCGGTAAGAGGCTTCATAAATATGGAGACATTCTCTTTAGGTCAATATTTTGGGGAATCCCCCAATGTCATCTGTCTTCAGGTAAGAAGTCTAATCACGGTGGAGTTTGTATTTATGCTCAATTTCTATGATGGACACGAATACTGAAAACGTCTCATTTATATAAATGCAAATAGATAATTAGTATTCAATTCCTCAAGAACAGATATAGTTTGCAGAACCACTGAAAACCACAGAGTTCTGGACAGCTGTTCCATCTTGTGAATGGGACTCTCCATCAGTAAGCACAGCAAATCCCACCAGGGGTCGAGCCAAAGATCTCCAAGTTACGAGGTGATCATATTGCCATTCCACCTCGCAACATGAAGATCCTGAATTCAACACCCGATGAGGTCATACCCTGTGTACTTCTGAAGAGACTAAATTTAAAACGACATAGCTGTCCAGTACTGCCTGGCTTTTAATAGTTTTCCAATCTGATGCCAGTTCGTAATGAAATCTAACTTGGAATAGTGAGTAATAGCAGTTTAATGTAGACAAAATTATTCGTCAGACAATAGGAACAAGTGATTGAATAGTTGTATATGTGGGCCATCGAATTCCAGCTTTCTCTTTAATTGCATCGCTGATGGAGTTCGTTCAAAATGTACTCTGTAATATTAATTTCTATGAATTAGTAATTTTGATATAGACAAACAAACAAACTTACAAAGCATCACTGACGATTCGTTTATCAGGTAAGTTGATTTTACCGACAAAATCAATAAACAAATTATAACTCAAGGAAGAATAACAAACACAATTCGGTGTGTTTCAATGTTTGAAGAAGATTTTGCACTTACTAGCATTTAAAAATCTCATAGCATAAGGGGGAAAATAAAAGACATGATAACAAAACAATTTATGCGAAGAGTTAAAATAGTAACAGTTGAAGAGACTAGTGCAGAAAGACTGCCTACTTCATGCTTAATATGAAGAGAGGCAGACAAGTTACTCTCATAAAATACTCATAGTCATAGCAGTGTTTCTTTGTTTGCTTGCAGTGAGAAAAAGGCCATACCAAGCTGTTCATGCACAGTGTTATGAAAGACTCACACAAACACACACACAGAGAAAAAGTTTGTTATCATTTATCTCATGAACCATGATTTCAAAGGCAAACAAGTTAATTAGTAAAAAAACCCAGTCATATGAGAGAGTTAGGCAAGCACTTATTTGACACTCAATATGTATGCATTCACTTATATATAAATAAAATACCTTTTAGGAAAACCTTTATTAGAGAAACAGGAAGTTGACTGAAACAAGAGGATACATAAATGTTACAAACGCCTAAAAAGTGAATCACTCGGACAAGTGTATATATATATGTATATTTATATATAATCCATTTATTATAATTAAGGTACAAAAGTCCCTTTATCGTATATCTAAATCAGATTGCCAGTAAACATTATCAAGATTATATTTTATAGTTACAAGTGAAACATTCATTATTCGGAGGATGATCATTACACTGGTTTAAGACAGACGACATCCGACAGTTTATCCCAGGCTGTTAAAACATGTCGGGATACTTCCTTTGTTGTTGGTATATCGCTTTTTGTGTTCTCTGAGCTGAATAGTTGAAATCTACAACACACTTACAATCTATATATGGCATTTTATGAATAACCTACCGACATCCCAGATGCCATCAGCTGCTCAAAGATTTGGCGTGTCAACAAAAGCATTATCAACAAGCTGCTGAAGACTTCCATCAAGATTATATGGCGAACAGGAAAGGGGATGAGGAACAACAAGAAACAATGTCGGGAAACAAAACAACTAGAAACTTTTTTGGTCGACAAACACGCGGAAAGAAATGAAGACAGATTGGAGATAGTTGAGCGACATCACGTATAAGATCCTAGAGCGGAAACCGAATGGGAAATGACGAGTTGAATGTGTGTTCCAGGGTGACATGGAAGAGATAGTGTGAGGAGGAAATGGAAGCTTATGTGAGATTGTGGAGCGAGTTAGAAAATAACCTGCAAGGAACAGAGTATATAGGGATGTGCTAGTGAAGTTCAATGTTCCACTCGAAATCCAAGGGAATTACATATATATATATATATATGATAACAAGAACCAATCAGTGTCAGCAGAAGAAATTTTACAGACGCCACAGCCTTCACTTATCTAGACAGAATCGTCTCGACTACAGGAGACACACTTGAAGATGTCAAAACCAGAGTTGGAAAGGCACAACAGACCTCCATCACTCTGAAATCAGTTTACAGATCTTCTGCTCTCAGTCATCATAAAGAACAAAATTAGGATTTTTAACATGAATGTTAAGTCAGTCAGTTATTCTATATGGATCAGAAGCATGGCACTCGTGTCCCAAAAACCATTGCCAATACGCTACTTCATACTTCTATCAACAGCTGACTTCGTTGACTTCATACTGGAGATTACATGATTAGAATGGAGTTGCATAAAAGGAAATCTACCAACGAACCAATCAACAACCTTTCGCTTAACGCATAGGAAGAAGGAAATGAAGATGGATTGAACACATACTTGCTGAGGAGACTGATAAGTGATATGATGCTCCAGACGCTAGAGTAAAACTCGAATGGGAAGCGAGAGAACAGCTGGGCGTTTGTCCCAGGGTGGCATGAAGGAAATGACAGCTTATGCGCGATCGAGCAGCCCACTGAATAAGGCCTTAGAGAATAGGATGAAAAGGAGATGTGCAGTGGAAACCCTATGTTCCATTAATTAAAAGTTAGACAGTTAGTGTAATGACACATCATGTAAATTATGCTTGCAATGAATGACACGATGAGTATATGGGATTTATATATATACGATAGTAAATTACATGAGTCCAAATCATCAAGTGGTATTTATTACATGGTACTAAACTGGTTTTATTGACGATAATCAGAAAGCTATGTAAATGACACACGAACACACACACGAACACATAAATCTCAGGGAGAGTGACAGAGAGAGGGAATAAAAGTAATAAAAACCAAGCGAAACTAAAACAGAAATGATCATAAAAAAAGACAACTGAATTGTATAATAAATATTCTGGCAAAAAGAACAACAACAGAGGTTTACATAAGACTAATAATCCATTACATCATTATTAGTGTATTCATCATTGCAAATTATTTTAATTACCATAAGCATTACTGTGTATACAGTTATTAAAACACAAGGGGAAAAACAGTTGTAAAAGTACGATTAACATATAACATCGAGGTGTTAGATTGTGGTGATGATCATAGTA